GCCTCGAATGATGAATATTTTCAAAAAAAAAATCAAGCATTCAGCATAAAATCTGTTGTTTTTTAATTTAATTTGAAATTTGAAAAATTCAATTCATTTAAATTTTCAATGTAAAACTCGAAAAAAAATAAAAATGCTGAGATAGGATAGAGATACACATCAATCGACTCAGTTTTTGATTCTGGTTCCGAATATGATATTTTTATTGCTCAAACGTTGAGTTATGATAGAGAAAATGGAGAATTACGGGCAGAATTCTGAGTTTTTCGCACATGATTTGGGAAAAATCCAGAGAAAGCCAGGATCACGTGATACGGAAACATTGTCAGACCCTTGCATCTGTTCAATTTTTATTTGTCTATCGAATGACGTTTGTCCGAAGTCTGCAACGCTTACCTGAGTTGAGATATTTTACTTTGCAAAATAGTTAAATTTTCAAATTTCAAATTAAATTTCAAAATACAAATTTTATGCTGAAGATTTGTTTTTTTTTTGAAAATATTCATCATTCGAGGCTGAATCTGAATATGTTATTAAAAATGTTCCATGTCTTAACAGTGATTTTTAAACCTGTTTTATCAACTTGGGATCCGGACGGACCCCAGGTGGGCAACAAGTGATAGTCCTATAGGTGGGCGGATGAGGGTTAAAGCAGGAAAAAAATTCCTTCTGCTATGTATTTTACGAAATTGAACTGGTAGAAACTCAGACGAGCAAATATTCATGAAGAAAATATAATACCCGAACGTGAACCATTTGCTGGTGGTTTTTTGCTTAATTCTTTAATAATTAACATTTTTAAATTTGGATCCATTTTTGTCACTTGTGTCGTTGTAGCTGATGGTAATCGTCTGTACATTGTTGCTGGTTTTAATCGCTCCTGATTTCGACTAGATGAATATGGATAATTGTAGGATGATGTAGACGATGATGACATAGATGATCCTCGATCACTTAGGTCATAATCATTTATTTTAAAAGCGTCCGATTGTACATCAGTTATGGATGAATTTGTTAACGATAGATTTGTATGAGAGTGTTCTGTCAGAAATGTTTTACTATTATGATCAAAGTGTTCATCATTATTAGATACATCATTTTCGTTTAATATATTTACTTCATCAGCAAATGAAACAGATCGTTTAGATTGAGGTCGATGTTGTAGTTTTTGTTGTTGTTCTTGTTGATCATAATCAACCTCAATTGTATTTTGACTTTGTGCAGTTATTCTCAGTTGTTTCTTTGAACTATTATTTGGATAATTCGTGAATGTATCGGCTATATTACGTGATATGAATGTTGATTGTTGTGGTTCTCGTGTACCTTCACTATTTGTTATATCGAAAAATGCGTGTTTTTCTCGTAATTCATCTAATTCGTTATCAAGATCTTTTTTTGCCCGTAATTTTTGTGCTTCGTTAATCGAATGAATGATAGGTGAATTGAATATGAGACAGACGTCGGCTAAATTCAAACGATGTGATGCTAATATATCCGATACTTTAATATTTTGTTTGTTCAGCGCACCTGATTCCAGTTGATCAACTATCAATTTGAGAAAAAAAGCAACACGTTATTTTCCCATGTTCCCAGAGAAAAGTGAGTTAATATCTCTTACCAATTGTCGCATACATTATTTGTAAAATGTGCGCATTTTCTTTCCACGTATCTCGTTCTGTCATAACAAATGCTAATCGTTGTTCTGGCTTTAATTTTTTTCGGAATAATGCTGGCTTTTCAATGGCTAGTTGTGTTATTTTCTCAGTGATCGGTATACGTATTTCATCATCTACTTCACTGAATAAATTAAGAAACGCAACTCGAAATTGACATATTTGATCGATCATCGCTAAGAGAGTTTGAATTGGACAATCGGATGGGTATGTATTCTTCGTTTTGTCTTTATAGTCGGAAAAATCCTCGGTATTAACATTTTCAATTATTCTTGTACAAAGAATATCTAATTTTGTACGTATCTCGTCTCGTTCGTGAATTAATGCTTCAATTTTAGCATCATTCACATCAGAACCTTTTGAACCTTTTTTGCCCTTTTTCCCAGCCTTTTTGGTTCCTTTAGCCGACGGACTATTACGCTTCGACATATGAAACTAATGAATGAAAAATGTCGACTAATTGATTCGGATATCTACAAATATAAACCAAATAGGTTATCAATATGATAGGAAAAACTGCATTGACATTCCAAGAAGAGAAAGAGGTAACGAATTCTTCGTGAACGTACGTTTTAAAATTGTTGGAGTATTTATGAATTAAAAATCTTGTAAGATATTCCTTTCAAGCTTCCATAGAAGCTTTTCAGTCGTATAGCCCTCGTATAGCTTTCCAGCCCCTCAAAACTAGTAAAATCAACAGAGAAACAATAAAAGATGCCTTTGGGATCTTTCTTATAATGAATACAGCTTAACATAAGAAGGTCGTGGAGAGCTCGGAGACGTTTTGTTTTATACAGAAAGTTTGTTATATACGACTGAGTTATGTACAGAAAATTCTATATGAACACATTTTAATCAAACTTGCATACACATCGATTCTGATTGAAAATTTTTTCAGCTGTTGACATTTCTTTTCGATTCTATAAAATTTTAATCGTTTCTAGTGTTTAAAACACAAAAAATTTTTAAATGTTTTCAATAGTAACAAAACAGAAAGTGTCACTTAATGATGAGTAGAGATATCGCTCCTGTCACCATTACCTCCGAAAAGATAGATGTCTGATGGCATATTACTCACTCCCTAAACCATTTATATATGATCAAATGAGCTATTAAACAAAATTCAGTTGTATGGCTATGAGTAATAAGCAATCTGTTATATCACATGTACGAAAGAATCACTTAAATAATAATAAGAATAATGATAAGTATATAGTTACTTGTGTGTACGTTAAATTCAATTAGTGTCGTTCAGTTTTATGACTTGAAAGTTCAAACAATTATGAAAGAAAGTATAGAAGAACAAAGACAAAGAATATATATTTTAAGATAATAATTGCTTGTTACATTTTACAGTTTTCTTTCTATATGCAAACATTTTTAACGTCTATGATATATTATCTACATCTACTCAGAGACAATTTTCTTCTTTCATTGACAGTTTTCTTAGAAGAAAAAAAAAATACTTTTTTTTCTAAACGAACGTTGTTGTTATTCTTTTGGAACAATAATTGCCTCCTTAGTGTATGTAGATGAACTAAAGAAACAGTATTTTTGTCAAAAATAAAAGTTGAAATCAATAAAAATCAATCGCGTTGCCACCACATATGCACTCAATTTTAAAGTTAAAATTTTCTTTTTATTTCGAAATGAAACTGAATGCATGCAGAAGTTAAAACTTTGTAGAAGAAATATGTCCGGAGAGTAAGCGAGCGAGAACAAAAAGCAAACATGTCAAAAACATAATATCATCAATTTTGAAATTTTAGGTGCCCATCGAAGAAAAGAAAAGAAACTTAATAATTCAAAGTTTATAATAAACATGAGAAACATGTTTGAAAACGATAAAAAATATTCGAGTGCTCAATGTAATTGTTGCAATATTTGTAACAACAGATGAAAGTCGATTGAGAGAGACGGTTTATTGATAAAAAACGGACCATTATGAAAAAAGTTTGTCAGAATTCTGGAAGAGGACTTCAGGTACAGAACAGCATTTTTGTACGCAAAATCAAACATCATTCAGTTTGAACTTAACGTAAGATCAATCATTTCTATCCGTAATTCTGTTGACAAGTAATCAAAAGCGTCTAAGTGGATGGTATTATCTGTCTCAGCTACTTCTTAGTACTAGACTTGGACGTTATCGAAACTTTATATTACCTTCATTATTTATTATTACCATTGATAGAGTACATTTGTTATATTAATGAAATTGACCTTTGCTTAGTCTATAAACCTAAGTAAACATAGACTTGATATCTCCTCGGTTTATTTTTATCTTTGTAGCCAACAAATTACAGCACAGTGTGTTAGGATTAAAGAAGCTGACACACTCTTGACTACTAGCATTTAATTTCCAACAAATATTTGAATGTGAGTCGAAATCCACATCTCACAAGAGAACTCCTTTAGTTGCAAATCGCTTTTGCGATCAAATTAAGCGGAATAAGTTAGTCGAGGGTGCTGAATCCGAATATGATACTTGTTTGGGTTGCTGGGACTTCTGTGGCCGTTTTTCTCGAAAAATCGTCTTTCGAACGTGAAAAATTTTTTTTTCAAATCAATTTTCTGATCTGTTCAGATTCTAGAGCACATCGAGCTGACTAAGTATATAAACTTTTTCGATTACCACACGACTATTACGATTATCGATCAAGTTGTAAACACTTTTTAAACTTCCTATGTGAGTAAAAGACATGCTCGCGCACTTGTGTCTTTCGTACTGGTATTTTCCTTCCTTTTCTTATCGAATAACAGTTTTGTTTTTATTTTAAATACCAAACGGAGACACAAGTGTTACAGTGTTGTCGATGAAACTAATTCTGAAGGCAAACATCGTCGATCGTGGAAAACAGTGCACAACTGATGTAAAAGCGTCCCACATCAGTTATAAATCTCACCATTTTGAAAATATTTAAAAAAGCACGGAACAAAAAAGTGAAATAATTAATGAACTCGTTTTTAAACTTTTTACCACCGTACATGAAGACTCTTTGCCGGTTCGTGACACTGACTGACGACGGTGGGAATTACCAGCAGCTCGTAAAGATCATTATGAGGAGTTTCAGGCATCGAATTATTGGATAATAGATTTTAAGAGACGTCATAATATTTCATCACATAAAATAACAAAAATCGTCACAAAGAAACAGGAAGAAGGTATTGATAAATCAGCTGACGAGTTTGTGAAAAAGGTGCAACAACTAGAAGAATTGTGGTAAACGGTTTACAATCATGCTATACAGGTCATTTCATTTATTTTGAAACGATTTCCATAGACTTTTTCTTCGTTAGTGACTTATACAGATCTCAAGATTCTCATGTCAGCCCATCCCGCTAACAGTGCAAATGTTGTCATAATACTTAT